CCCCAACTCTTCCCGCAATTCTCACGGCACCCAAACAACGAGATCGGTGGGTGTGGGTTCCATAACGGAGCGTGGAGGATTTTCACGCACCCGCTGAGCCACCCATTGCCACAAAACGTATTGAATACCCCCCGCCCCCGCAGACACCGCGATCCTCAACACAGAAGTTATACACGAAAAATAGAAATAAAAATAAAAAATAAAAAATAAATAACAAGACAATAATAATAATAATAATAAAAAGAAATAAATGCTCATGCCGTTTCGTTCCTGTTTCACTGCTTTCCTTCACCTCCTCTTGTCGCTGCAAGGGCAGACCAAAAAAAAACAAAAAAAAAGAATAAAGGGGAAACAAAAATAGCAACAAATATATATATATATATATATATATAGAAGCCGGCGAACAGTTAGCCACATGCAGACAGTCTCTATTACTCTCAGAAAGACAAACAAAAAAAAAGTATAAGGACAAGAGAACAGTAGTCGAAGCAAGAATACCCAAATAATACACTAACATGGCTTTGGATCCTAAAGAGAGCGCATTGACTGGCTGAGAAAGATTAAATACAAATTATTGAATGCATTCTTAAATCCCAAGCAGCAGCAGAAGCAGCATCAACGAAAACACAAATTCTCTAGTCATTCGTAAAACAGTAAAAGAAAACCCAAAACAGAAAAAAAAAAAAAAAAAAAAAAAGAAGTCGATTGCCAACAGTAAATACGAAAAGAGTAAAAATAAAAATAAAGGTTGAAAAAACAATTCCCCTAAAAATCCCGTGTTTTCTTCCCTTTTCCCCTTAATAAATAAATAAATATACAAATATATATATATTTATGTTTATATATAGAAATCACACTGGTACAGGTGGTGTAGGGCATTCGGAGAGCCGTTGCTGGTGCAACCGGTAGGGGTTGTGTGTATACCGCGTACAACGTTTCCCGCCTCCAGTCGCCGTGGGTGTTGAGTTACTCACAGAGGATTCTTCAGCTATGTTTGTGCCGTAAGCGGAGCAGAAAGAAGTGGAGGAAGTAATAGGTGCTCCTTGTCGTGAGGCGGCAGAGCCATTATGCGTTGCAGGTCGCGCGCTCCATTCGTTAAAGTACTGGTTTGCAATCGGTGTGGACGCCTCCTCGGACTCTGCTGGACACAAGCTTGAACAACTGCTCCCCAATGTTTTCTGTGGGGCACCCAGGCTGTGAAACGTAGCAGCATCCTTCTCCGCATGGTTGAAGAAATTTGGTTGTTGGAGGTACGGGGCTTGTTGCAGGAATGCGTCGGCATGATCTTGTGGTGGCATCCCTGGGGCACACACCCGTTGCCGGTTCGCTTCATGGAAGAACATATAATCCCTCATAGGAGAGGGTGTTGGGACCGCGGAGCAGCCATAAAACGGTTGCGGCATCGAATTGCCAAGGTAATTTGCAGAAGAGGCATTCGCTGATTGCGTGGGTTGTGGTGAGTTGCACCGCGACCATCGCAGAAAACTCCAAGTAGAGAAGTCTGAACGGCAACAATTTACGCGCCCTTCATCCACTGGAGCACGCGTCATAGTTCTATCGGTTGCGTTCGTCCTCACCATATCGTTCGGTGCACCTCCTCGCCGAATTGAATCCGTAACGGCTGCGCCTGGACGCCGATTTCGCGCCGGCACGTCTTCTGCCAGCTTCACCATCAGTGGAATGGAGCCGCTGCCAGGGAACGGACGTGTGTTGTGAACGGCTTCTGCAGCCTTCTCGGCGGCACCCTCGGCAAGAAACGCCACAAAACCGATACGGCGTTCCATCCACTTGTTTCGAGGGACGGCGGTGTCTTTGTGGAGCGAGACGCTGCCGACAGGGCCGAAGCATGCGAACAGGCGGGCCAATTCGTCTGCGGACACGTCAAGCGGAATATTGCGCACAAAAAGCTTAAAGATCTTCTTGCGGGCATCACCAATTGGGGTGTTGTCGTGCCGCTTCTTCGCCCAATGCACTGAGATGGCCCGGCCGTGAAGAAATCGACCGTTGCACCCATGAAGGGCGGTGCGGGCCTGCTCATTCGTGGCATAACGCACAAATGCAGTGCCGAGATTCTCACCGGTGTGAATGTTGCGCATAACTGCCGCGGAGAGAATCTGCCCATACGGAGAAAAAAACATCCGAAGCTCGTTTTCATCCACGACGCGTGGCAAGTGCCGGATGAAAAGATTCGCGTGGCTGTACATCTCGTCAGAGGGATGCTCCACAATATCCCCAGGCTTCTCTTGCTCACTTGTGTGCATTTCCCCTGGTCTGCCGCTGGTGGATCCTTTTCGTTGTTTTCGTTGTTGTTGTTGTTTTCTCTTGTGCCTTGTTTGACTCCGTATGTTTTCCCTCTTTCTTTAGCGAAGTTTGGTGTGGACGCTGCCGCTTCTGCAAGAATCTCCTTTCGTCTCCTTGATGACGCAGTGTTATTAAGTATGACTGAAGGGCAAAACAACAAAAAGGAAAAAAAAAAAAAAGGAAAAGGAAAAGGAAAAGAACGATGATAAGGCAATCCAAAAATAAAAATAAAAAGAGTTAACAGAAAGATGATGTACGTAACCTTCTTCAATGAGGGACGCAAAAGAGCGTCCAAAGACAAACCACCCGCTGCACATGCTTCACCAAAAATGTTAATGAAGAGCAGATTTTATTGTTTGTTTTCTTCCGTTACTCGCTCATATATATATATATATATTATTTTGAGCCCCCCAACACTTGTTATTGTTGTCTGCTCTCCTTGAGGCGGGTTAGTCGAAACAGAAGAGGCACGCCACCCACACGCAGCAGGCAGCAGAAAGAGAGGAATAAGGCGCCATGTGTGCTCCCCATATTGCGGCGAAAGGGCACACACACACACACCATTCCTAAAAGAAATGTACCGTTTTCTTTGCGTTTTGAGATTCTTTCACACGTTTCGCTTCATCTGTCTCAAGATTCTTGTACGCCTGCTTCAGCTCCCGCTTTTTGTCGCGTCGCTCACGCTTTACCTGCTTTGCCAAGTGCTGCCGCATCTTCTTTTCCTCCCTTGTCTCCCCCTTGTGCCGCGCGAGGGCGAGCAGCTGCGTGCCTCGCTTGGACACCACGTCTTCATCCTCTAGTTTTCCGTCTTCCGTTGTTGTTTCTGTTGCCGCTGCTGCTGAGAAGTCCCCATGTCTCCTTCTTCGCCTTCCCGGCGACGGCGCCCGAATAACGTTGGGCTGGTTGAAGTACGTTGAGTACGCCGAGACTGCCGTCTCGCAATCTAGCCGATTTTCCTTATCCTCCACCTCCCTCAGCACGTAGACCTCGTGGTCATCGTCATCCTGCTCTGTCGCCTGCACCGCATCCTCGAAGTTCTCGGCCGGGCCGTCTAACTGTTGCCTCTGCATGCGCTCACGGGCAGCCTGCCGTATTTCCTCCGCCTCCCGTTGAAACTCCTCCAGAAAACGTGCTTGCTTGTCCGGCAAAACGGTTGTGGTGTACAACTCCCCTTTGGGGCTCATGTCCGTCCCGGCGGAGAGGGCCATGTTCTGCAGCTGGTGGATCAGCCCCTTGTTGCGCCGCGGCTCGGCAGTCCCGTAGTCGACGCCGGCCCTCTCAACCACAAACTCCTCAAGCGCGCGCATGTACTGATCCACAGCGAGAGCTCCGTGGGCACGAGGATCGTCCGTGTAGGCGTCGTTGAGGCGGGCGTCGACGTTAAACTCCCGCATCATCTGCGTAAACTGTCGGTCCACGCCTCTCTTCGTAACGTCGTGTTGGACGTACACGGACCCATCGTGTTCTGTGACGCTCTTGGCGCCACCACCCGCACTCCGCACCTCCTCCTCGTCCTCCTCGTCACCGTCGCCGAAAACCACCTCTCGCAGGAAGTCATCAGTGAACTCCACCTCCTCCTGATCCGCAAACAACTTATCATCATCTTCCTCGTCGTCTTCGGAGTCCTGCGCACGAAGAAAGTTGTGCCTGTTCATGTACGCGTCTTCTTCCGGCAGTCGCCCGGCGCCTGCCTGCGCCGTTGAAGAGGCGAATGAAGTGGTCGTGGCCCACTCCCGCGCCCAGCCACTGACAGTCGCCGACTCATCCTCGTCGCTCTCCTCTGCACGCTGGCGGCGGCGACGCGTGGCAGTTGTCGGCAGGTGTTTGCGTAGTTCCTGCTCCTCCACCATGATGGCAACGTTCTTCGCCCCCTCATACTCCGCGTCATCATAAGACGGATGGACGAGTTTGAAGGTCACGCCCTTTGAGCGTTTGGGCGGCATCGCAACGCTTCCGACCCCCTCGGCTGCTTTCCCCTTGTCTTCTGCGGCGCGCTGCAAGTCCCCCCTCACTGTGCGTGTACTCGTGCACGGCACTCCGCAGCAAAAAAAAAAAAAAAAATGAAATGAAAAAACCACCAACACACAACGGCAGCAGCAAAAAAGGCGGTGCAACGACGAGCAAAAAAAAAGGATCCCCTCTCGCAAAGACACATCAGACGCCATTAGGCTCACCCGGCACACGCATCCCGGACCCGAATGCTGCCGCCACCGGGGGGAGGGGAGGAAAGAAAAAGCCGCGGTGGCACTACTCCTCTCAGCCACCCTCCCCTTTTCCCCACACACCGATGTAGAGAAAAGGGCCAGCGGCGGCAGCGGCGCCGAAAAAACAACCAGACAAATTGCCCCCCCAAAAAAGACACGCACGCAAACAAACAAAAAAAAAAAAACAGGTAAAAAAAGAGAAAAGAAAAAATATATAAAACAAAAAAGCTCAAAAGTTGATCCATCAACGTAAACCACATATATAAACATATATGCATATATATAACATCCTCCCACACCCCTCGTATCCGCCCACCACCGCCGTCCCCCTCGTGTTTGCGTGCGTGCACACATGCATCAGTGTGTATATATGCGTATATATATTGATGTATATATACGTGTGTGTGTATATATATATATGTATATATATGTGTATATACCCGCAAATTATAAAAAACGATGATTCACCGCCCTTTTCCTCTCCTTCTTTTAACTGCGTCCTTCAGGCAAGAATAACAAAGAAAAAAAAAAGCCCTTGGTTGCAAGCAATTCACACGCGTACACGCACATACCTCAGACAAAAAAAAAAAAAAAAAAGACATGTACAAACGACGTAAAAAAAAAAAAAAAAACAATAATAACAGTAATAAACGTTTACAATGGGACAATCCAGAAATAAATATATATAAAATATATATATATATATATATATATGCGCGGATGATTATTAGCTGAGCAAAGCCAGAGAAAGCAGAAAGAGAGGAAAGAAACAGCAAGGGCAAAAGGAGGCGCAGAAAGAAAAAACAAACAAAACAAATGCTCCCCAAAGTCTAATAAAAACCAAAAGGAGAAAGTACAGCTCCCACAACAACAAAGAAAACAACAAAAAAAAACAAAAAAATTTTCACCCCACTCGCCCCACTGTCTGTGTGTCTGTGTGTGTGTGTGTGTGTGTGTGCGTGTGTCTTTTCAGACAGACAGCAAAATCCACACATTACCCCCACAGGAGGCACCGTCCTTCCCCTCGCTTTTCTTTTTTTGCGGTTATTCTTTCAATTTGTCCTTCGCTCCCTTCCCCTCTCCTCCTCCCTTCCTTCCCTTTCCTCCTACCCCCAGAAGCAACAACTCGCCTCGCCGCCGTCATCCACAGTTCGTTGGGGAGAAAAAAGAAATAATAATAAAAAAAAGGTAAAACGGCACCAGCGAGAAGAAACAAAAATAAAAAAATGGGAATCCGTTATGCATGGGAATTACTGTACATATTCCCAGACACAGAAAGACACACAGACAGAAAGAAAAAGACAAAAACAAAAAAAAAAGACACTGACAAACAAACAAACAAACAAATAGCAAAAACACACACATCATAAAAAGATTCGCGTAAATAAATATAAACAAATAAATATAAATATATTTTTCTTATTTTTATTTCAGCACCTGCCATTCCGAAACGCCTCTTGTTTTTCGTTTCACTTAATTTCCCCTGTTTTTTTTTTTTTTCAATTGTCACTCATTTCTCCTCTCTGGTTGCTTCCATTCCACTGTTTACGTTCCCTTCAAACGGAAGAAAGGCCACATTAAAAAAGACAAACAAACAAACAAACAAAAAAGACATTTATGTTGATTTCCCTACTCGCTTTCCTTCCCCCTTCCCCCTCTGCTAGTACCAGCCATCCTCCCCGCATGCTTTTGCACAGCATGCACTCGTAAAGTCACTTTTGTTGTTCGTTTCCGTTGAACGTGAACACACACTTTACTCCCAATTCCTCTCCCGTTACAAAATGCCAGCAGAAATTACTCCATTTGACGGAGCCGTTCCATTCACGGAGAACCCATCCCCACGCCAAAAGAAAGAAAGAAAAAAAAAAAAACGCATTCAATGCCACACGACGCTGCTCCGCCTCCGCCCTCCCGTTTGCTCGTCACAGACCCATGTTTGCCTGCCCTGTCGAGACTCACCCACACACCCACACACACCCAAAAAATAAAATAAAATAAAAATTTGTTGCAGGATCATTGTGGCAAATGGAACGCGCAAGTCAAGAAAAAAAAAAAGTATCTTTGTGCCCTCCAAGCGGCAAAAGGACAAATTACTTCGATGAAAATTCGGTGAAATCGGCATCGATTTGCGGTAAGACAGACATCACCGCCGTGTATTCAAGCGATCCTGCCGCATAGCTGCTCTTCACTGATGAAGAGAACTCGGCAAAATCAAAGGGCTCCCGGCGACACTGTCAGCCTGCGTTCCGGAAAGGCCTGGAGACGTGGATGGGCAAAACGGCGTCGTGTACATTGGAAACGATGTAAACCCTCCATTGTTCATGCATGAGACGGGCGACCCAGAAGGAGGCGTGGCACAAGCGTTGCTCGGTGCAAGGGGATTGGCGGCAGTCGCTGCAGCGCCTCCATTATAAAAGGGAAATGGCACTCCGGTTCCCTGCGGCCACGTGACCCTTGTCCGCCATGGATACGGCGCCTCACTTCCCATTACTGCTCCCGGAAGCGAACCAGGCAAAATAAGACCACCAGACGCCAATAATGAGAAATAGGACGTGGGCGCAACGACCATTGCACCCGTGCCCGTTCCCGTGGGAAAGCACTGTTGAACGGCTGGGGCGTCAAAAAATTGCTCCTGTCCAGAGGACATCGCGCTCATATCACCCTGTAATTGTTGCTTGGTCCTTAAGGCATTAGCAGAGTTTTTACTGCCAGTGCCATGATGAATGCGTTGCGGGGCGTCCTCAGCCAGTTTTACCATCAATGGCACTTTCCCACAACTTGGAAAGGGTCGGGTGTTATGAACGGCCTCAGCAGCCCTTTCGGCAGCACCATCCGCAAGGAACGTGATGAAGGCAATGTGGCGCTCAAAATTTTTGTCGCAGTCCGGCGCGGTATCCTTGTGAATCGAAACAGACTTGACCGGACCGTACATACTGAACATGTCCTCGAGAACGACGGTGTTGATATCCAGTGGAATGTTTCGAACAAACAGTTTACTGATTTTTTTACGAGCCTCCCCAACCGGGGCGTAATCATGCTGCTTCTTCGCCCACTGAACAGCGATCGCTCGTCCACCAATCCGTTTTCCCGACATCCCCTTGATTGCACTCATTGCCTCCTCGGTGGAGGCGTAACGCACAAACGCGGTGCCAAGACTGTTACCAGTGTGAATATTGCGCATGACTGCTGCTGAAAGAATTTGCCCATAGGGGGCAAACAACTTCTCCAGCTCACGCTGCTCCATTTTGTGCGGAATGTTACT